TGCGGGTCTGACCCCGGATATGCATCATTACTAATTAAATGAACGAATCGTAAAGGGACTGTCGGTGACACTGGCCGAATAGAACCTTCGACCTGGAGCATGAGAAAAGCCATACTCTCCGCTGCGCCATGCTCGCCAAAAAGTCTTCACTTACACACAAAATTAAAGGATAGCCCAGAGATGCAGTTTTCCTACGGACTTTTGTCCCTGGTGTGCACTGCAAAAGACAAACCTCGCAAGGCGCAGTTCAATCCGTTAGCAGCTTGTACACGTAATGAGTAGTCGAGCAAATACCGAAGTGATGTATTTAGAGGTTTCGTGTGACATATTAACGCGAGAGTATCCTGCAAAACTAGAAGATGTGTAAGAACTTATGCGAATTTTGCTACTACAAGAATAGAGAAATTATTCATTGGGCGTCGACGAAAATCAAGAAAACGCTTCAAACTATATGGCTGTACTAAGCATCAAGTGCACTAATTTTGCTAAGACCATTCGTTTTAGACAATGGCGCTGCCAAGGATATCGCATATGCCAGGCGCTACTGTCTCCTGAATTGCCAAATAAATGGGGGTGCAGTGTAATTGTGGCTTTTTTCTAAAAAAAAAATTCGATAGGGCAAGGAATACCGCGCGTCTGGATGATATACGCAGATTCTGCGCCTGAAGAGTAACTTTCTAGACAAAAAAAAAATAGCCAAGATCAAAGCACTGAGATTTTTCAAATGCGTAGATGATTTTCAGCACAAAAACCAAAGAAATGTGGGCTATAGTTTGGGAGGCTAGTATGTTGAGATCATAGTAATAACTGTTTCTAAATTTCCCATTAAACTGTTTCTAAACAACTGTTTCCAAAAAAAACCTGTTTCTGAAAAAAAAAAAAAGGCTCTCCATATTTATTTAATATTCAACTTTCCCAGTCAACCGGTATGGAAGGCCTCAAGTAAACTACTTCACTGCAACGCTTTCAACAGGTTCGGCGCAAATAAAAAAGGACTTCTGACCACATCTTAATTTAGTACCTGTCGCCTGTATATGAGTCAACTTTTTAAAGATGACCTAAGCGGTCATTTATATTCTTTATAACCTCTTTTTTTTCTTTGTAACATCTTTTATATGTTAGTTAAATCTGCGAAAATTCTTGCTCAGTGGATTTTACTTTCTTATATGACTGCTCCTCTTGAACAAAGCTTCTTGATCAACAATCAATTTTCTTGGTAAATCAGGTCAAAGAACTGTTTCGAAGAGATAACGGTTACCATACCCATTTCCAAACGAGCCAGCTTCACAGACACTTAACGACAATGTTATTAAATTA